GCTGCACCCAGTTACATTCCTAGCAGCAGTGTATTCCTAGCAATTCTGTATTATCCAACATGTACTTTTTTGACTATCAGGTGGATGGGAAATGGAGTCTAGTAGTGGTTTTTATTTCCATTTCCATCAGAACCAGAGTGGTAAAGGAGGTAGCCCATCTAACATCTGTGCAGGGCATGAAGTGCCAGGTAACTGGACCATTTCATCTACCATGGCTCTCTCCTCCCCCTGCAAGCAAAGAACAAGAGTGGGTCACAGGTCATAAGACAAGCCCCGGCATAGTTCATCTCTGCCTAACAGCCACCTCACACTGAATCCCAATCAATCTCCACATAAAAACACTGGCTCTTTTACAAAGAGAGGTGCTGGTTTTCCTTCCATGTAGCTGCTTTGTCATTACTAGGCGATCTCCCCAAAATAAAACCAGAAAGCAGAAGGCAATTGCACCCTACTCTCTTGTTGACATGGTGTGGGGAGAATTGTGTTTCCAATTGGGCTAAAAAATTTGCTGTCTCCTTGGTAGGAAGGGTTGGGGGATATGTCCTTTCTGTGCCATTGGGTGTGTGCATCCAGGTCTGCAAGGTTATGCTGGTAGTAGTAGAGACGCACACAAAGGAGCAGTGCCTGACAATGCAAGGACCGGATTTGTTGACTGTGCCCATCAAGATACCAAAAAGCCAGTAATGTTAGGAATTTCATTATGCAGAATTAGCTAATGATTTGATTTTGACCAGTTACATGATTGGCAGTTTATTATGAGGCAGAGGCTGTCATTTTGTCACTTGAAGCAACTCGTCTATAGCAGCCGAAGGATGGAGGAATGTAACTCTACCCCATTTAGTGGCTGAATTCCAGTAAATGGAAAGAGCCTAGTCCAAGCTAGTTCAGCCCACGGGACCACGGCCACATGTGGCCTAGAATGGATTTGAATGTGGCCCAACACAAATTTGTAAACTTTCTTAAAACATTACGAGATCATTTTGCGATTTTTTAAAAGCTCATCACTGTTGTTGGTGTTAGTGCATTTTATATGTCGCCCAAGACAATTACTATTCTTCCAGTGTGGCCCAGGGAAGCCAAAAGGTTGAACACTCCTGGCCTGGTCCATTATTGACAGAAAACATTAATGTCTCTATTAAGGAAGGAAAGCTTATAATTTCTTGCTTCAGAAGTAATCACTCAATGCTCAATTATCCACTCTTGTTTTGTACTCCATTTATTCTGACTTTGAGCAGGCCCCAAACCTTTAGAGATTAAAAGAAATGGAGATTGGAGGAATCATAACAAAATGATAGAATTTAAATTCTGGAAGAGAAGTTAGAGGTCACGGAGCTCAACCCCTTCACTTTATTTTTATTTTATTTTTTTGAGACGGAGTCTCGCTCTGCTACCCAGGCTGGTATGCAGTGGCACGATCTCTGCTCACTGCAGCCTCTGCCTCCCAACCAACCCCTTTACTTTAGATGTGGAAACTGAGGCCCCAGAGACGACAAGGGGATGGCATAGTCCTTCAAGACACATACTGTCTGAAGTCAACTTTTATTATTGTACTACTAACCATTTCCTGTCGCTGGAGTTACAGATTTGAGCTGGAGCTGGACTCCATGTTAGCTTCTTTGATGAATGGATTTCTCCCAGCAGTGGGCTTGGGGTCAGCCATGCAGTGTTTCTGTTAGATGTTCCAGGAGCCCTCGCTGCTGCTGACCGGGAGGCGCTGGAGCTTGCTGGGGTGAATCAGTTCATTTTTCATTTTCTCCACCCTGACTTCACGGAAGGTCACATGAGGTGAAATTGGGTAATTACTTATCTACTCTGAAAACACACCTGTATGGATTTGCACAGAATGTGGGCCTTCTGTGCGCTGCTGCTATGTGCTTTGGGAACACAGTGGGGAGCTTGAGGCCTGTGGGGCAGAGCCTGCCTTGGTTGTAAACCACCCCCTGCTTGCTCAAGCCCACCCTCCTCTCCTCTGTTGAAAGTGTGCTTTAATGAATAGTTTTTCTCATCATTATCTTAAATCAGATGAAGGGAAATGCAAAGCTTTTATATTAGGAAGATTATTTGGCCCCTTTTTTCTCCTCTCCACAGGGACATGAAACTACTGGGAAAAATAAGATTTCTTGAGAACTCTTTGACATCTGGGTGTCTGGTACCTCAAATTCCCAGACCCTATGGTTGCATTTCAGACTCTACCAGTAGATGCCCTAACATCCTCTCCACTGCCTGTTGGAAGTCTCTGCTGGCCCAGGACAGACCATCTGTCCTCTGTGCTCTGCTATGTTACGACCCAGAAGGCTCCGCAGCAAGAGGTTGATTTAAAAGAAAACCTGGAATTTTACCAAGCAACTTACACTGTGTTTACTGAAACACTTAGAATCTGCTAGGCAGCAAACAGATGAGTGGCCAGTCAATACTTTACTCCACCAAATCGCATGGTGGGTCCTTAAAGTCTCTCCCTTTAAAAACAAAATAGGCCAGGCGTGGTGGCTCATGTCTGTAATCCTGGCACTTCAGGAGGCCGAAGTAGGCGAATCACTTGAGGTCAGGAGTTCAAAACTAGCCTGGTCAAATTGTGAAACCCTGTCTCTACTAAAAAATACAAAAAAAAAATTCTCCAGGCGTGGTGGTAGGTGCTTGTAGTTTCAGCTACTCGGGAGGCTGAGGCAGAAGAATCACTTTAACCTGAGAGGCGGAGGTTGCCCTGAGCCGAGATCACGCCACTGCACTCCAGCCTGAGCAACAGAATGAGACTTCGTCTCAAACAAACAAACAAACAAACAAACAAACACTTGCCAGGTGCAGTAGCTCACACCTGTAATCCCTTGAGGCCAGGAGTTTAAGACCAGCCTGGGCAACAAAGCCTTTCCCTACAAAAAATAAAATAATTAGGCAGCATGTTGACATATATGCCTGTAGTCCTAGCTACTTGGGAGACTGAGGCAGGAGGATCTCACTTGAGTCCAGGAGTTTGAAACTGCAAGCCTGGGAGAGCAAGACCCTCTCTCGGGGAGTGGGGGGAACCCCACAAAACACTTGAGTATGATTGACAATACAGAAAGTGTTCTTATTTAATGTATACAACTTTGTGAGTAAATACTGTATTGTTAATTGCAGGCACCAAACTGTACAGATTTCTAGGATTTATCTTGTGTAACTGAAACTTTGTACCCGCCTGCTCCCCCCCCCCCCCCCCTTTTTTTTTTTTTTTTTTTTAGGAAGAGATCTTCCTCTGTTGCCCAGGCCGGAGTGCAGTGGAGCAATTTCAGGCCACTGCAATGTTTGCCTCCTGGATTCAATAGATTCTCGTGCCTCAGCACCCTGAGTAGCTGGGACTACAAGTGCCTGGCTAGGTTTTTTTTTTTTGTATTTTCAGTAGAGATGGGTTTTCACCATATTGGCCAGGCTGGTCTCAAACTCCTGACCTCGTGATCTGCTTGCCTTGGCCTCCCAAAGTGCTGGGATTACAGACATGAGACACCGCACCTGGCAGAGACTTTGTACCCTTTAAGTACTTCCCTGTTTTCCCTTTCCCTCAGCCCCTGGTAGCCACCATTCTACTCTGCTTCTATGAGTTTGATTATTTTAGATTTCTCATATATAAGTGGAAACCATGTAGTACTTGTCCTTCCAAGTGTGGTTTATTTCACTTAGCACAGTGTCCTCCAGGTTCATTCATGTTGCAAGCGGCAAGATTTCCTTCTTTTTAAGGCTGAACAATATTCCATTGTATGCATATAGCACATCGTCCATATTCATCTGTCCATCAGTGGACTCCTAGGTTGCTTCCATGCCTTCCTTGGGTATGGTGACTAATGCTGCAGTAAATATGGGTGTGCAGATATCTGATCCCAATTTCAGTTCTTTGGATATACACTCAGAAGTAGCATTCTTGAATCATATAGTAGTTTTATTGCAGAAGTGTCTTCTGCTTGGAAGGCAGATTGAAAGATGTGGGAATTGGGTCTCTTGGATATTTCCATGTGCAGTTCATTTTTAGAAGGCCAAGCCTGCAACTCAGTTTATGCCTTAGACTTGAAAGCTGTCTTTTTGCAGCAAAATCATAACTATCTAAAGAGGTACTTGGGCAACAAACTTGTGGATGTGAAGAAGAGGAAAGCTTACTGCAGAGGGCTCTCTGGGTCAGCAGGAGGAAGCATGATGAGCACAACCAGCAAGCATGTTGTGATACACTGTGGCCTCTTGTGGACAGTCCCGGATTCAGGTCCTGAGTACAAATTCTGGCTCTGATACTCAAATTCTGGCTCACAGTTGTGTGAGCTTGGGCATGTTAATCACCCTCTCTGAGTCTGTTTTTAAAATCTCTCAAGTAAGGATGTTATATCTACCCCCCCAAAAGGGTTTTTGTGAAGATGATAAAAGTACAATGCCTGGAACATGATAGGGACTCAATGAATGATAGTAATTAATTATGCTAATAAATAATGTGGGCTGAGCTGCATTTCACAAGCCTGCTTCCCCAAGTGAGCATTTACCAGCTCCTGCCTTAGGCTGGTAGATGAGCCTTCCTGAGAATTCCCGTTTCATTTCCCCAGCATCTCCTAGCCCCCACTCATTAAAGAAAGTAGCTCACTTCTACAGTTCAAGTGAAAAGCAGTGTTTCCAGCAATGACTCTGTTTTCTTGGATTTCCTTTTATCCATGCTTTCTGTCTCTTTCTATCAATCACTTTTTGTTATTACAAAAATGTTTTGTCCTTTATTGTTTCATAGTTGTTTTGATATAGAAAGTTGTAAGTGCTTTTTAAATAAATGGATGACCTTGGTTTAGGATTATAGAAAGTATATCCCCCTTACTACCAGACATATTAGTTAACTAATGCTAATACTGTGTCTTTGCCTTTTCTCTCAATTTTATTTGTTTCATTATTACAAATAGTAATATTTCCTAATGGAAATAATTAAAAGTTCATTTTATTAAAATTTCTGACAAATAATTAAATCCTAGAGCCTCACTGAAGCACTAGACAACATGAGCGTTAACTGCTAGCAGAAAAATAAATTTATTTTAATATAATTCTTCTTTAAATACCAATCATTTCTGTTTGGCTGTAAGGACCACATTCCAGTTAAGCTCCTGGAAGGCAGAGTTAAAGAGAAACTGATGATAATTTTGAGATTAGCTCACTGGTAAATCACTTTGAAAGGCTGAGTCTCTGGTAAGCTGGAAACACAGACCAGACATGGACGGTAACCTTGATCAGCAAGACTGTTCTGTAAATTATGAAAACTCGATGTAGTAAAAATGAAACTTGATTTATCCACTTACCTAGCAGTGCATTCTGTATACTTAATGTAGAGATGACACTTCAGTAATTTTCCCTGCCCCCAAAGATGACAACTCTGCAGTATTTAGAGCTTCGTCTTTCAAATGAAAATATCAAAAAGAGGATTGGCAGTGTGAAGCTTGCATGTACCTCTTGGGTGAATTAGTTTAATTGGATGCTTTTCTTTGAAGAGCTCCAAGTGGTATACTCCAAGAATAGAACTGTCCTGGAGCCGATTGAAGGAGGGTATAAGTTGTAATTTGGCAGAGAGGAGACCCTGGGAGTGGACCAGAGGGCACAGGATACCTAAGAACAGAAAAGCACAGATGTGAGGAAGAAAAAATGTCACCTTCTTCTGATTCTGTTTCAGGTGATCCCTGGTGCCAGTTTGAAGCACTTGCTGATTATCTGCCCTCTTATTTCAGGAAGGGAGGATGCCAGTCTTTATTCAATGCCTGTTTTGAGCCAAGGAGCTTGCTATGCTGTATTTTGTTTTTAAATCACAACAGCCTTTAACATTGTTGTTTTCCTTTAGTAGGTGAGGAATTGAGGCTCAGAGCTGTTAAATGATTGCCCAGGGTGACATAACTAGTAAGTGACCCAGCCAGAATATAATCCCAGGTGTGTCTGATTACAGGTGTTTTTCTTCTGAGAACAGAGCCTTGTTTTATTCACAGTCATATCCCCTGTATCTAGAACAGTGCTGGGCACAGAGCAGATGCTCAGTAAACAGTCTGTGAATTAAGTAACCAAATTAGCACCACACTGCCTTCTTTTATGCTTGAGTTTTAGCTAGTTGTGGAGAAAGATTAAGAAACAAAAAGGACTGACAGTAGTCATTGTGTTCCTGAGAATACTTGGCTCCCAAAGAGGCCTCTTCCAACATCTTGGACATGAAATAAAACATGTTCTAAAATTTATACTTTTAAAATGATGGTATAATCAAAAGGCCTGGCAGGCAGTCCATAAACCTGAGAGTTTGTGCAATTAAAATAACATTTCCGATTCCCAGGAAGCTTGCACGCCGAAAGCATTTTTACATGTAAATTGATCACTTTTGAGATGAGCTGGTAGTTTCTGAAATTAGCAGATTACTTATGCTTGAAGGAGCTGAGGTCGCCATTTGCTATTTGACTGCTCTTTGCCCTGAGCTTCCAGGGCAGCCAATAATGCAGTGAGTGCTGGACTTCCACTGTTTTTTTTCAAATTAAAGATTTAATTACAGTCTTCACTGAAGATGAACCAAGTGTGAAAATACCTGATCTACTCGGAATGTGGGATCAGGGAGGAATGTGTGGGTTGGAGTCAGTGCCTGGGCATTTAAATACTTTCAACAGTAACATTAAGGGTGAAATTAATTATATTGTGACCAAATGTTGGCCTGTTGGTTAGGCAGAGTCAGTGAAATTTATATTCTTATTGATCATTATTTTAAAGCTGAAAGGGTTTTTTCCCTTAGGACATATTCTCACAGCCTATAGACTTAAATCTCTAAGACTTCAAAGGTTTTGAAAGATACACATCTTTGAAATTTGTAGAGACTTTCTTTGTGGAGTGGTATATGGTTATTTTGCATAAATGTTTTGTGTGCATCTGTGAAGAATGTGGATTTGCTCATTGTTTGGATTTAGAATGTTAAATATGTGGAGTAAAACTTACTTATCATGTTGTTTATATTTTCACTCAATTAATAATGAAAGTGATTTATCCAAAACCTATCTGATGGCCACCCCTTATCTATTTTTTTAAGGTACTAGCTTAAATAAGCCTCCTTTATTATGGAGAAAAAAAAGTCTGTGTATCTTGTTGGTCTTCTGGCTTTTGTCATTCTGATATTTCTTTTAGTGTCTGAAGTTTAGTTATACTCATCCAAGGACTGAGTTTAAGGGTAGATTCAGTATGCCTCATTAACTTGCCATCATTGAGAAATGATCTGTTTCACATAAATGAATTTTCTAAATGACGAAAAGCTTCCCTTGCAGTTGTCAACGGCTCTTGACCCCCACCCTTAGATGACAGGAAGGTTTATCAAGTGGACCCTCCTCTCGCCTGCAGAAAGCTGACCCATTCTTGAGGCTTTGGGTTCATTGCCACCTCTATTGTTGCACTCCCTCTCTACTGCTGCCTCAGCTGCTGCTTAGTTTTCCTTGCCTCTTCCTTGATGGTGGGGCCAGCAGTCATCTCTTCTCTCTTGCCAGAACTGCCTTTCTACCATTCTTTCCATGCATACTTACCTAGTGTACTGATCACGACTGGTCTAGGAAACAGATCGGCTGGCTTTGTCTCATGAGTGTGATCTTTCATTTATTCATCAACTACTATTTGTTGAATGCTGGCCACATGTAAGTCTTTCAACTAGAGGCAGACAAAAAGGGCTTTAAAGATAGAACCATAACATGGTCCCTCCTCTGGTCTGTAGGGCAGTCATTAGATCCATAATGAATGGTGAAAGTGATAGTGGCACAAGAAAGGTACAGTACTGTGGGCATTAGAGAAGGGGGAGGTTGTTTCTGCTTAAAGGGATTAGAGGAGGTTGGCTTTGAGTTGAGTGTTCAGTTGTGGAGACTGGGGAGAGTTGTTGGGACTGGCATGAACTCAGTGTCAAAGGCAGGGGACCTAGAGGTCTGTGCAAGCATGTGGAGCAGGAGTGAGGCTAGGACGTGCCTTAAGCGCAGGGGAGAAGTGGGGAATCAGGTTGCCCTTCAAATGCCAGTCCAGGGAGCTTGGACCTTTGCAGAAACCACCAAAGTTTGTTTATTTAGGAAAGATGTCAGAGACATGCTTTTGGAAGCATAATATGGCCACCTGGGTAAAGTGAAGCAGAGAGAGAAAGGACTGGATAGGGCACTAGATGCTAGCAGAAAAGGTGCAAAGTGATGAGGGCTGAAATTCACATGGGGGTGTGGTGTGATAGGGTCATTGGAAAGGAGGGATGTGTGTAAGGAGGGATATGGCAGAGTGAAAGGGAGCAGGATGTAGCAGCTGCTTAGATGTGGGAGGGAGGCGAGGTATTCTTAAGTTTGGAGTCCAAACTGGCTGGAGAAGAGGGTGCTCTCAAGACCACGAGATGAGGGAAGGTCAGGTTTGTTGCTGGAGGAGAAGTCGATAGTTCAGTTTTTTGTTTGTTTCTTTTTGTTTGTTGTTTTGGGTTCGTTTTTTGTTTGTTTTGTTTTGAGACTGAGTCTTACTCTGTTGCCCAGGCTGGAGTGCAGTGGTACGATCTTGGCCCACTGCAACCTCCGCCTCCTGGGTTCAAGTGATTCTTCTGCCTCAGCCTCCCAAGTAGCTGGGACTACAAGCGAGTGCCACCACACCCAGCCAATTTTTGTATCTTTAGTAGATATGATGTTTCACCAAATTGGCAAGGCTGGTCTCGGACTCCTGACCTTGCCCACCTCTGCCTCCTAAAATTCTGGGATTACAGGTGTGAGCCACTGTGCCTGGCCTTGGGTTCTGTTTGGTTTTTGTTTTTAAAAAAAACAGGGTCCTGCTCTGTCACCTACTTTGGAGTGCAGTGGCATGATCACAGCTCATTGCAGCCTCGACTTCCCAGGCTCAAGTGATCCTCCCACCTTGGCCTCCCAAAGTGCTGGTATTACAGGTGTGAGCCACTGTGCCTAGCCCTTAGGTTCCGTTTTAAACTTCAGTGAGTTTGCTCGGCAGGAGGTTCATTCAGGTGGATATGTTTATTAGCTTTTTTTTTTCTTCTGAGATAGAGTCTTACGCTGTGCCTCAGGCTGCAGTGTGGTGGCAGGATCTTGGCTCACTGTAACCTCCGCCTCCTCAAGCAATTCTCCTGCCTCAGCCTCCCGAATAGCTGGGATTACAGGTGTGCGCCACCATGCCGGGCTATTTTTTTTTTTGTACTTTTAGTAGAGATGGGGTTTCACCATGTTGAGCAGGCTGGTCTTGAACTCCTAACCTTGTGATCGGCCTGCCCCAGCTTCCTAAAGTGCTGGGATTACAGGCATGAGCCACCGTGGCTGGCCCAGAATATTTTTAAATGAAAGACTTTCTAAAAATCATATAGCTAAAGATGCACATCCTAAGTATAAATATTTTCTTAAACATTGTGTGTTATCAGAGATTATATCAATCCAAGGCTAACTGCCAGTTTCTGAATTAGACAGGAAGCCAAGCTCATTGGAGCTCTAGAAGATAAGGCAGTGTGGACATTATTGTGACCAGCTCCCCTGGCAGTGGTGTTGACTCCAAAACTTTAATCCTTTTTCTTAGCCTTAATGAGATGCCCATCAAGGTTGGGATTTCCATCACATCTTACCCTTTCAGGCTGGAGCATCTGTGATTCTTTCTTCTGCAAGACTACTTTAAAAATTTCTCATACTGCAAAATAGTTTGTAGAATGGCAAATGTCAGAGCCTATTTTATGGGTTTGATTCCTTTTGTATCTGAGAAAACAACTTGCCCAGAATCAAATGCAAGTCTATTTCAGAGATGATTCGTAGAGCATCTTCTTTGCCCAGCCTGACTCATTACTGAGATGATCACATATGTATTTAACTCTGTTTTCAAAGGCAGTTGTGGTGTGTGTGGCCAACCCAGTCATGGCACCTATATGTGGATCTAAGCACTCATTTGCATTATACAGAGTCCCTGAGGAGCTCATTAAAAGCCGGGGTCTTTGCCTTTGGCCTAGGCTGAGGTCCTGGTGCCACCACTTGTCAAAGGGCGTGTTTGATGCTGCTTTTTCCTTTGCCTCTGTGTCCAGGCTTTGCATAGAGTCACTATGTAGTAACTACAGGCAGAATTGAATCAAACACTTGTACTTTAAACTCCTTAAACTGGTTTTATTGTTGTTTTTGTTTGGTTTTGTTTTTGAGACAGAGTCTTGCTCTGTTGCCCAGGCTGGAGTGCAGTGACATGATACTGGCTCATTGCAACCTCCCCCTCTGAGTAGCTGGGATTACAGGCATGTGCCACCATGCCTGGCTAATTTTTGTATATCCAGTAGAGATGGGGTTTTGCCATGTTGGCCAGGCTGGTCTTGAACTGCTGACCTGGTGATCTGCCTGCCTTGGCCTCCCAAAGTGCTAGGATTGCAGATGTGAGCCACTACATCCAGCCACCTTAACCTGGTTTTAGACTTGAGACTGTCTTTGCCAGTGCATGCACGGGTTAGTCCTGTTGCATGGTTGCAGTGTGTCTTGTGAAGGCTAAATTCCATTGTTTTTCTCGCTCACGCATCCATTATTAAACGCCCACTGTGTGCTCTGCACTGGGCTGGACAGTGGATGGTAGACATTCTCAGTTCAAGTTACATTTACCCGAGGTTTGTCTTTTACATTGTGGACTTTGTGTCTCTGCCACCAGGTGGTTCTCCTGGCCCTCTGCCCTAGCCCGATTCAGTGGAGTCGGCTTGCCTATTGGCCCAGCCTCAGGAATGGTTAAGTGTCACTGAAGGCCTATACATGACGCCGTGAAAAGCACAAATAATAGGCTCAGGTTTTAGTTTGGAATTCATCTTAACTTTCAGTCTTTCGGTGTGTAAAAAGGGA